TATTAAGGTATTTGTTAAGAAAGAGCATTTTAATAGGTTAAAGAAAATAAGTGTTAACAAGGTGTGAGTGGACATACAACTGACAAATGGAGGCGATTCGTAAAGGAGCTGAGAGTATGGGATTATGTGTGATTATAAAATAAAATATAGTGCTAGAAACAGTATTGTGATATACAATTGGCTATCTTCCTTTTATTATCGAAGCTATTAGAGCCCCTTTCGTTTTTTTTTATTATTATTTTTTTCAGGTATTATAGGGTCTTGAGTAGGCTTCGTATATTAGCGAATTGTCTAGTTTGCTTGTAATAGGATTTCTGGGTAGGAAGTGAAACCAATTCAACGTTCGTAACACGATTTAAAGAGGTATTTTGCGTGATAAATCAGCATCAATACCATAAGTTCGTGACATCCCACTAAAACATAAGGAGCCGTAATTAAACAAAATGTTCTGCCCTACAGACATGGGTGGATTGAAGTTATCTCCCCACCTTCATGTTTGCTGGTCAGTAACGCCACCCTCCCTCCTTTTGTGATGTTAGGCTCTCTTACGTTTGTGGTAAGTATGAATACTGCTTTAATCAAAGCCCATAGTTGGAATACACTGTCTCTACTAGGTCCATGTTACAAGCAAATCAGATAGTTGAAAAGTCTTTTTTTGGGTTAGATGTCCATATAGTATATCACACTGCTATGAAAATAACTAATGGTTTAAAGAAGTAAGGACTAATAGCAAATCAAAAGATATGAGAGGGTATAAAATTGTAGAAAGAAAAAAAAAGATTTCAGGGTAAGACAAATAAAACATTGAGAAACTCACAAGACTTTGTGGCCAAATTTTGAGCTTTGTATGATCGGCCTTAGTAGATCAGCATCCATAAGGTTGAGCTATCTGTCAAAAAAAAAAAAAAAAAAAAAAAAAAAAAAAAAAAAAAAAAAAAAAATTTAACCTGTAGAGATTTGGGGACTGAAAGCTAGGGTTAGGAGCATGAAGTCATGATTAATAAACAATGAATAATAGGAAAGGATAAGCCATATATTCTGTGATTTTGTTATATTCATATTAGTAACAGTCGAACTTGTTATAATTTTGTTCTTTCTAGATACTAGGCGGTCCGTAATAAAGTGCCTCATTGGTGGGCGGGAGTTCAAGGAAATGTTGAAGCTCTTTGGAGTCTAGAAATAGGGTTATTAGCTTTTTGAATCTGGTAAACGTATCACAGTTACGGATAGGCATTGGCAGCCTGTTCCACAATAAACTGTACCGTACTGTAAAAAACTTACAACGCATTTGTTTTTGGTGTTTTACGGTAAGTAGTGTATATGCGTTGTTTCTAAGTCTATAGGCTGGGTCGTGGGTGATAGTCGGGCAGGAGGTTAGAAAGGAGAGCCCATATATCGCTTTGTAGAGAAATATTAAATTGTTTTTTAGCCTACGGTGCCATAAAGGTTCTAAAGATAGATGCTTACATCTTTCTGTGTAATCGAGATTCGAGTTACATCCTAGTAGTTGACGTGTGAAACGTCTTTGAACATCTTCTACTCTTATCTTGTCTGCGATATTCATATTAGAGAAGACAAAAGAGCAGTATTCAAGGGAGGGTCGTACACATATTTTGTAGAGAGTAAGTTTACCCTCTGTTGTGAAAAAGTTTTTCATTATAAAACCAATTAGCCGTCTAGATTTAGAAATAATAGAGGAGGCATGTTCTTCAAAGTTTAGGCTTCCTGTGTAATTAATTCCTAAATCGTGTACTGATTCGAATGTTTGGACTCTACATTCATTTAAGTGAAGTCGCGGTTTATAGGGATGCTTTCCAAAGTGCATGATCCCGCACTTGTTGAGGTTAAATGGTAATTGCCATTTTTCACTCCATATAGTTAAGTTATTGAGGTCCTTTTGGATCTGGGATACACTTTCGCTTAGTGTCTCAGGCTTATAGCTGTATACTATTTTGAGATCATCAGCATATAAGTACGGTTTCCCAAATTCTATGGTGTTACATATATCGTTTATATACATAAGAAACAAAAGTGGACCTAATACGCTTCCCTGGATGACTCCACTGGTGATTGGTCTAGGGGACGAGAGACAGTCATTGTACTTTACCATCTGTTTACGTTCTGTTAAGAACGAAGCAAACCATGAGTACAGTGGGTTGTGTATTCCGAAGGACTTTAGTTTGACGAGTAGCCTTTTGTGTGGGACCTTATCAAAGGCTTTCTTAAAGTCTAGGAATAGGACTGTGCGCAGAAACTCGAAGAAAGGTGTGTAGTGGAAATAAAAAACAACATTTAGTGAGGATTTGTCAACTCTTCTGGTGAAATTTTGAGGTGTGAATTTTGAGCATACCTCAAAAACCTACAGTTCTTTTATGATGGATGACAGACTTGAGTAGGACGCTAGTTGTATTTCATAATTTCGGACAATTGGAGGCCAATCAACAGCACAAAGACTGTTGACTAGATGTTTCGTATTCAATAAATTTTTCTTCACCGGTTTTTCTTAGATTATGGTGGTGATACCACCACCTTATTCAGAAGCTAATAACCCATCTTTTACATTCGCCTGTATGGGTTATATGATCTGTCGAATTGTTGGAAGCATTATGTATATTTACTTCTGCATGTTTATTTCTGAGCGATACACATTGGGACGACTTACATTTTAGATACTAGTTCAGTTTGCCCACACTGAGAAGGCATTACGAGAAGAAGTGATGAAAATTCAGAATTGAGAAGTTGTCACTGTAGCGTAAGACATATTAGTAGGAGTTCGGATAAAAAACTGAAGTAAATCATTCTTTAGGGCTAGTGGACAGTCGTTGAAGCCTGGTTAAATGAATTATCATATCAAAACCTTCTCACTTTCATGATAGATAACTAAAAATTGAAAAATTCATCGAATGTCGTTGGTGTCAAGGATGAATAACAAGAATTAATCAATTGCAAGAAATGGACTGGGCCATGCTGCGTTGTTTGTATAGCAGTCCAACTATAGATGGCTTAGAGCTAGCCGATAACCTACTATTGGGATCAAAACATTATTTATTTGTCTTCTTATCTTGTGTGTGGGTTACATTCTTATTAGTCTGAACTGGATGGTGAAAGGTTTGTATGTTTAAACCAGTACGTCACGCCCCAATTGTGCTAGGCATTATTTGATAAACAAGCACAGTACCGTCTTCAAGTCCCCCAAATCTCTACAAGGCGACGAGTGAATTGAAGTTCGACAGTTTTGCTCTGTATTTTTCTGGTCTTATCAATACATATATTCAGTCATTTTAAGTTTTTCGTATACAGTCGTCAAGGTAGCCAGAGCACATAGATACCGGTGGAACGTAATTCAGGTTAGGTGTTAAGCATTAGTTGTCACTTCGACGTAAGTTATGAGGTCACATCATTTATACCCAGCTCGAGTAGATTTCAACCGTCCATATAGACCACTTGCATTGCTAATTTACAATCCCTCCTAAACATCTGTTGGGCGAACTCTGAGATCGTTATTAAGCAGTGAATAGTTACAGACGTTTCTGAACCGCTTAAGAAGGATATTGAACGACCGATCGTGCTCGCACCAAACAAATTACTGCTGATTTACGAATAACTTTTATCTGAAAAAGCTCATGATTATTAAGCTTTCCTTCATGACAGGAAATAGAAGATAGCATAGGTATCCCTTTTATTCTGGAAAAGATGATTGCAAAAATATGTGAATATAATTTACTCCAGGCACAGGTAGTTAAAAAAATACGAGAATTATCAGCCAGTGAACTTAGTTTCATTAGGCGATGTCGACTATCTGGGACATTTACGGCTGAGTACTATGTTCAGGCAGATAAAATGTATCCCAGATAGATGAGCCGAAGTAATACATTTATATACTGAAGATGAAACGAGTTACTGGAGGTATGAAGGACTCATATTAGCCCAAAGAAGTCAATTGTCTACCCCCATCACTTACAGATCAGGGATATGGGAAGTATGTTCGACGTAAAACTCCAAATGCTTTGGAGGGAAAAAAATTATTATCAGAAGGGGTTTGTGGAGATTTTGGAAATCTTCACAGATTGAAATCATGAGTCGGTTGAAGCTAGACCACGATGGAAAACCTGGAAGCACTGGACGGCCGTTTCGTCCTAGTATGGAACTCATCAGCAGTTCGCGTCCACGACCTCGCCCGCTGAGCAAACGGCGTGGCACAACTTCATGGATTGGTTGAAGTTAGACATTAACACCGCTGGATGCCGGCTCAGTGGTCTAATGGTCAAGTGCTCGCGCGCGAAGCCAGTGGGTCCTGGGTTCGAATCCCGCGGGGCGCGGGTTCGTGGATGCGCACTGCTGAGGAATCCATACTGGGACGAAACGGTCGTCCAGTGCTTCCAGGTTTTCAATGGTGGTCTAGCTACAACTGACTCATGATTCCAATCTGTGAAAAAGAAAATTGCACAACGAAAAGGATAAACAAATGTTATCAAAAAAAGTCCATACGTGTATACATATTTACGAACAAAGTGTTTCTTTTGTAGTGAAGAGAAGAAATGTGTTGTTTTTAATGTATATAAAAGGTTTAACAACAATAACGGAATGTATAATCATAATAATAATAGTGTTGTTAATAATAACGGTAATTAAATCGATAGTTCACCGAAAAATGTAAATACATGTAAAAATCGTGTAATCAATTAGTGATAAGCTGAACGAGTCCAACGAAGTTGAATATCGTTACACAATTAATAATAAACGCCACCATACACTACATAACTACCTACCTCTCATGTTCAACCCAACCGTGATGTGAACTATTCTTATTTTAGTTACGTTTAGATCATTACAACGTCTCTTCATAATAGCAACACAAATTATGATATACTTTGCAAATGTCTTAGTATTACAAAGGCAACCGAACTTTTCAACATATCAAAAAATCTATAAGAGTTTTGGTGATCCGAAGGGCGCAAGTATGAAGAAATCACTGACTTCTACTAGCTCGTCATGACAACATTGGATAGCACATAACAATTTCAGGATGCGGGCAGTTAAAGATTACGCTATCGGCGCGTAAATTGTAGTATGCTGAAATGAAAACACAAAAGTTGGCGTCACATCGGGAGTCTACTAACAAGTCGAAGGAAAGAATAAAAAACAAGAAACGTCTCGCGACAGGATTAGATAATGTCGCTAGTAGCAATAGTACATGTCATGCAGTCGTAACTTCGTCCAATCGCCACGACCCTTTGGCGCACATCATTCGTCTTTCAAGTAATCTCAAAGTACCTCGTTCTCCAAAGCGCCATTTATGCGACATGATCCACGTTGAGCACTACGAAAATGGTGGTGGTTATGCTTTGCATTCTTATGCTGATGAGTTAGCTCACCTTACGGCGGATGAGTTGGCTTTGTTGGCTCGAAAATATTTCAAGATATTATTCACCGAAAGACGAAAAAGAGGCATCCGTGTTCCTTTTTCCCATTACTGCATAGGTGTTGTCCATGGAGCTGCGAGAAGAATGCCGGAACTGTTGTCGTATTTGTCATCTGCCTATCCTAATCTCAACGTCTCGACAAATCCCCTAGAACAGAAAAACGCAACGGAAACTTTATCTCTTTCACAGTATGTAAAAAACGTTCAGAAAACTTACGCAAACGGCATCTATCGGTTTGGGCCACTGCATGCATTGAGTATTGTTGGTGTTAAAGGTGAGGAACGTGGTTTTTTTGACAAGAGTCTCATTGAGATGATTGAAAAAGACCCATTCCTAAAACTTGTAACACCATGGGGTGTCTTATCAAGTTTAAGTGGGATGGACCCTCGAGAAAGTAACGATGGGCCTATTCTGTGGTCTCGTCACGGAGAACAAACTATTCCTTTATTTCCAACTACCATGCGTGGCAGGAGACGGTGAGTATTTGTTCTGAAATATTTTTGTACATATGTGTATGTATGCATTAGTAAATTAGTCATACAAACATGGTGATTACCAATTATTTGGGATTGATAGTAAATTATCATGGCTTTTAATTCACGTGGCTAGTTTTCAGTCGCTGATTAGTTCAAGGTGACTGATTAATCTTCACCTCGCAGGAGAAGCTTTCATAGTTGCAGTGTTAAAGGCCTGAAAGCTCATGATTCTTCTCAGTTAATTTAAATACACAGTAAATTTGGTTCGTGAATGTACACTTACTACATAGTAGAGAAATAAACTTCATTACATTCAGTAGTTTTGCCTAGTTCATAAGGTCCCAGTACATGTAAAAATGCTGAACGCTTATCAGTGGTATTTTGAGGATTATGGATTGCGTTATTGCTCTCTTAAGTATCAGACTCAAACAAGTTGGACAATATTATCCATGTTTAAAAACAAGGGGATCGGACAACTTTGCCTTACATTATCGTCTCGAGGTAATGTTTATTTGACTGGAAACTCAATTTCGTCACAATACTGATGAGGTCTTTGTGATGGACTTCAAAAATGATTGTTTGACTCTACTGTGGCTTATTAAATTTTCAGGCGAACAACAATAACCAATACTAATTTCGGGGAGATAACAGCATCCACTGTAGTTAAACATTATTGGTTACTCTCAGCACTCCTAATATCGCGAAAATTCCCCTTTCGGTTATCTTCATCTCTTTCTGTTTCTAATCCAGTAATTTTGTTTTCACAGGACTCCCAGTGCTGGGGTCTGTGCTACTGTCGTAACCAGTGGTTGGATGACATGGCTCAGGATCGATCACAATCACGTAGGTGGATACACTCCTTGTCTTCCCTTGAATCGCGAGATGAAAATTACTTTATTACCTTTTATGAACTAATTCTTTCTCTCTGTATCATATCCTTATATGAAATCCTTTTTTAACTACCATTACAGTAACTGTTTCTATGAATTTGGTGTTCATCTAGTTGTGCTAATGAAGTATGACAACCTGGACCGATGAATATATGTGCCTAGTTTTACTTTGTAGATAAGTGACTGACTGACTGACTTTATATAAGTTAACTAGAATTTATGACAAACAGGTGTGATTAACTATCAAAGTTTCTACAATGAAGTGGGAGTAGAAGACAGACATCAGCTGAAAGTATTTGGTTTTGAGTGTTTAGGATTTCAAAAAGTATCTCATCTGTTTAATATAATCAGTTCGAATGTTACTTCATAGACTTGTGTCGGATTTTGTTTATTTGGCAGTGTTATCAATGGTTGTATTACAGACGTGGTTATTGGTCGCCGCGCACTTGGTGGGCGTCAGATAGCGGTTCATGACAGGACTAATTGCCATGCTGACCACGCAGACGATGGGCTGTCTCGTCATACTACAGCAGCTGTAGGTTTACTAAAGGCGGTGTATCCCCATCGACCTGGAGAGGAATCAGAATTGCCCTATTCATCTTCCTATCCCCTTCATTTCGAGGATGCTAATGGTGATTTAAGTTCTAACACAAATCCATACGCATACAAACTAAACCAACCTGCTAGAATAGTCAAAGATGTAGTTGTATTTGATCCACGTCATTATGTTGATCTGATTGAACGATTACGCCTAGATATTATGGAACCTCCCGCAAGCCAGGTTTGTTTTTTTTCTTATTTTACATAACAAACCAATTAATTATTACATTACACCCCGGTTTCTGCTTTTCCTAAAGGGATCACCAACTTTTAGGATAGAAGTGACTTCATAACTAAGTTCGCTGGTGGAGAAAGTAAGACTGGGTAAATACGTATTCCTCACGCGACAGTAAAAGCAACTGGAGTTCTAGTTATTAAATTCATATCCAGTAATTCCGTATAATCCACAAAGCCCACATGGGCGAATAAAGGTTGAATAACGAAGTATTTATTTATTAAAAATACAAAATATACCTAGTTAATGTTACTTCTGAATGAAGAATAGTCTTGAAGTAAAAAGATTCTTGTGAGGTATACACTTCAACAGTTACTAAAGAACATACTTGGAAATGATAATGTAGATAGTCTTAATAGAATGCATGTCACATTACTAACGATATCGTTCTTGCTGTGTTGTGATGCTGTCAAGCTACTGTACACTTTCCCCTATTTGTTTGGCACAAACTTAAATCAGTGTTGGTACTGATTCATTTAGAATGACTCATAGTTTGCTCCCCAAATGCCCTGGTATGGCCGAGAGTGGGGTGGGTTCGCCCTCCCTCTCGAAATTCTCTCACACGGCCACGCGTATACAGCCTCTGCCAGGGAAGTCCTACTCATTGCCTTCTCGTGGCGGGGGTGTTTACGGAAATGAGAGGACGAAAAGCGAATGTCCGGCGCTTTAACCGGATCCCAAACCAATGGTGCACATGGGCTTCAGTATCCTGCGGGAACAAATGGCATATGAACCAATTGTTGGTCACCGGCTTCCATGGGACTGCATCTCCTTATGATGTTCCACTGCCTTGTGGGTTAGACCTTTAGGTCAAAGGCTCGGGGTATGGCCCCCTAAGAAAACTACCTGCTTCGGTTTGGGCACCCGGGCAGTATCACAGCCCACACACAAATATGGTGTGGCGCATATATATTTGGTGCCCTCTTGTACCGATGTTTATGTGTTGAAATAAATAAATAATAAAATACTCATAGTTTCCGTCGATTATCCACGAGAACCAGTGAGTCGTTAATTAGTTTTATGTATTTGGTAGTAACCCCTGTATTTATTGTTCGCGTTTGTCGTATTATCTATTATCAAGGAATATTCATAAGCCAGAAGACTCAAACTGACAATTTAGTATATTGGGATGACCTTAAGTAATCATCTTTGATTTTGATGCTAAACGACATCAATTTCAACCTCTTCAAGACGACGAGTCTTAGTCAATACGAAACGTTTATCCATGGTTCCTTACAGACTACTCTTTGATAAGACATTGAACGTTAGAGTATTTGATGCCTGGTCCCATTTAATGTATTTGTCACACGGTAAAACTTGTTCGGTTGGATTCAACCACAATCAACTAGCAGTATAGCACAATCTTATGTTTGTTATTAATATTTCTAGAATCGGTTTAAAGCACTTAGTTGTCACTGGGAATTGTTTTCTTGTTCTAGACCAGAAAATCAAGTTCAATCTAGTTAATACTGAGGAATGTGACTAGACTTCAAATGATCAGTTAATGTCGATTCAGGTTTCAATAAATTCAGAATAATACAATATAACCATCGATTCATGCTTAATTTTCTAATGGTTTTTCATATAATTATGATTTATTTTAAAAGCAATCGAGGGAATTCCAACATTATTTAATAAATTAGGTCTCTCAGTAATCCTAGTGTTTACCTCATCAATTTATCTTAACAGTGTGGGTCATTTTGGGCGGATGATGGTGAGCTTAATCAGCTACATTCCGAAGGCTTTCGTTATGTTCGCCTGCCTCTTCGTGATAATGATATATATTTTATCCCACGAAATGTTATACATCAATTCAAGTCTGTTTCAGCTGTATCAAGTATTGCATGGCATGTTCGTTTAAAAAATTATTACGACCAATTACAACATGATGATACAAGCGGGATGTCTGAACATAATGATTCTGATCTAAAAAATCTCGATCATGCCTATCAGTCGTCTGAATCCATCAAGTCAACATCTGAGTTATCTGTCCCTAACGATATAAACACTAATAGTAACTTAAAGAAGTCACCTGAAAGTATCCATTCATCAGCTAATGAGTTAGCTAGTTGAAACCCACTCATGATTTCTTGCATTTTGTTTTAATTGTTGATATCTCATTGTCTTTTTTGTAAAATAAGTCTAATATGGTTCGACTTTATATTCATCGTTTGTTTTATTCTTAATGTTGCTGTTAAATAGCTGTGTATGCATGTGTCACTTTTCACTGAACTCATTTGCAATATAATATCATCTTTACATACCATTTAATTCTAGTTGTTTCTCATTACTGTGATTCCATATCTGCTAGTTTATTTCCTTTTCTACTTGGATAAGTGTATCCAGGCACCTAAAATCCTTTTGTAATAATATGAAATTGTTATTTATTTCATGAGTTCCAGTTTGTTTTGTTTGCCTTATCATGTTTAATTTTTCTTATTCTGATTTTTGTTTCTCTCTTATGTTCCTACTTTCTGTTTGTTTTAAAATGTGAAGTAATTTTACAAGTTTTCATCACGAGTTGCATAAACAGATGTAAAATAATCCATTCCTAGCTTCTTTCTTTACTTCCTGTTTTCTTTTTCGGCAGGTAATAGGTGTTATTTTTAAACCAAAAGTTCATGGCCTCGGTTTTGTGTTTTTTCGATTGGGGTAATTAGCGAAGTTACTTATACTTCCTTCAGAATTTAATCCCACACAGTGCTTTGTTGGAATATGAGAAACTAAAGCTCATCGTCATGTTGACATTATTTCTTGCATGACCAGGTTTTGTAAAAAAAATATATGATACTGTAGTTCTTAGCACTAATCAAAGCTTACAAATCAAAGGATTCTGTGTATTCGCTAAGATAGGCATTTTAAAGTGCAGTACTCGAGGGGTTGAAAGCTCTCTCGAACAGATCATTTTTTCTCTTGATATCACGCGAGTTATGAAACATGATCGCATTCTATCCTCAATATGGATTATAACGGCTGAAGCATCACACTAATCATTTGTGATTGATCTGTGTAAGATAGCGCGTGTATTAGTAATAGGACTAGGTTTTATTTATTATGTGTTTGACTTTCAATTGCTCTATTTTGTCGAGGCGATACTAGATGTTATCAGTCACTAGCAAATTTTTAAGCATCTACTGGATATTAGCACTTTTGAATAAATTTTCATCTTAAAGTGTAGTTAGAAGGCTGATATCAAGTGGGAGTTTTGTTTCAACCCGTTCTGGTGTAGCCTATTTTGATGGCCAGGATAGGGAATGGTGTTGTAAAAGTCCCTTTTGGATACAAAGGTCCAGTTTGCAAAAATCAGTTCCGATACCTTCTGAAGCATCTAAATGTAGTTCGCATAAATCATACCTTTTATTTGATGGGGTGTGTATTTGTTCACATTGTAGTTTTAATTTAAAGGAGAGATTTCTTTTTTGCCACACTTATTTAATTACATTGAATTTATGAATAATCATGCATTTCAGTAATCTACTGTGTTACATGTTTTTTATGTGATTATTAGAGATATCGGACGTAACAGGCTAAAATAGATGACCAATTGCTTGTAATGTCAGTACCCAAACTACATCCACAGATTTTATTTATTTTAGATGTTAACGAAAACTACTATGTTTGTATAAACTATTTAAGGAATACAGAAATGAGTTTACTGACTTTCAGTACATTGACCACTGATGGATAATGATTTTTAATGGTCATACGTATTACGAATAAACAAGGACTGGTTCACTTTTGATAGGTAGGCTCCACTTATGAATGTTATGTATATATATGGATGTCAGCACTTTTATGATGAGATAGGGATAAGGTTGCAAAACAACTGTAATAAATACGAGGGAAGATATTCATTATGCAAAACTATCAGGATGGACAAATTTCTTTTACGAAGTTGACAACTGTATATTGGAGTATTGATGATTTGCAAGTACTAAAGAATACCGTCAGCTTCATCCTCATTGAACTGTAGTTTTAGTAAGGAGATGAAGTATCACGAAGAATAAGCGGCCCTAGGTTGTTTATACTGAGTTAAAAATAATGGTCATGTTCTGAAATACGACACTTATAGACATCACTTTCCAAAGAGTTGGTTACTTTAATAAATACGTAGGGGTTATTTTTAGATAATAAGGTTAAACACCAAAACCCAGTGCACCTCTTGTATATCATATCCAATTATTTAAGTAAAATAACTTCACAATCTAATTTTAACTACGAACAAATATACTGACCTATCGAAATCAATATTTTCTATTTTTATGTACAACCAGTCGGATATATTTAAAATAAACAATACAAATCGGTTCATGAACGGTCCTATTTTAAAATGAAATTATTTTATCAACTTCGAAAATTACTCAAAACAGTTACTTAGTTTTAAAATGAAACTGTTTGAAAACCTAAGTATTCATTTTTCTAGATGGACCGTATTTTTAAAGTTCAGGATGATAAAGAACTAATAAATTTCCATTCAACTGGTAATCTTCATGGTAAAACATGGATGATTTATGAGACAACTGTTCATGGAAGAATGATAGATAAATTATGAGTATACTTGTAATTTAGACGAGTGATCGGGTTATTTGAAAGCTGGGATCTAAGCTTAGTGTCATTATTTCTTCTTTATAAAAGTGCTCAATAATATAAACAAAAGTAGTTAATAATATTCACATATTACGAACAAATACACTTTCCAGTTTTTATATATAGAAATGTGGTTATTAACACAAACATAAGTTTATGAATATAACATCGTTAAGTAACTTTCTATGAGTTATGGTGCTAAAATTTACAGTAAAATCAAAAGTCAATGAGAGTTAAGTTGTATGGTGTATCTTGAACAGAAAAATAATAAATTAAAATGCCAAAGATAAGTATTAAAAAGTAAATCAAAGTCTATTATTTAATAATTCTAGAATACCAAACAGAAAGTAGATCAGTATTCTTCTGAAGTCATCCACTGGTTGCATACATGAATTAATATGGACTTGTGTGACGTTATATTGGAATAACTAAAGGAAATATTTTCATCACGTTTTCTGAACATATTACTCGACATCTATACGTGAAGGGAGAAGAAAATTCACAACCATAATTAATAGATACTGAACAACACAAAGGCCTTCAAACTAATTCACAAATATAGATCAGCTTATTTAATTTTTCTTTGTAAAAGCTGTTCCCAATAACCGTTTCAGACTTGAAAATTATTTTTTTGTCTAGTTTCTAAAATTGAAGGATTTAAAATGTTTACTTCTAAATGTATTTCTCCTAGTAACTAGGCTTTTTGTACCCTGCAAGAAACCTGAGAACAAAATAAATTCATTTTGTTCTGGAAATCTTGACATCCTTGTTTCTGTAAAAATCATTATTGGAACCGGATGTATGAAAAAGTCAGATCAGTTGGAACAACATCTTTCGATTGTGCTTTAACGGAAAAGGTAAACGTGGAGAGTAATAAATGTAAATTTGAGTAAAGTAATTTAGATCACAAATAGAGTGTATGTACTACTTTATAGTATTAAGTAGCATAACATAATGAGGAATAAAAAGTAATTTAACAACGCCTCTTCAAAATCAGCATGACTTGAAGGAGCGCTCTTTCTCATACATCAATTAACAAATGTTAAGAGTGAAAATTTATGGTTTGATTCCATTGTAACTTTACTAGCAGGCTAACTATTTCAACCCTGATCCATAAAGAGATTAATAGTTATTTCTCCTATGAGTATGTACAAACCTCACGTCTGTTATATACGTGAAAATTAATGTCTTCTGAAACTTGTTTTCAAAAGTGAGTGGATGTACTCAATTAAATATTTCATTACTCAGTGTTCCTCTGTAAATACAACCAAATCTTCAACCTGAAACATATCTATTTCTTGGTTTTACTGTGAATGTGATTGAAACAGTTCGCTAATATTTATCAGAATTCTGAACTAACCAGAATGATTACCATGTGTGTAGATAAGAAAGTATATCTCAGTTATCGTACTCTGCATAAATTATCGCTCTTCACTTTGTTTAAATGGCTTCATTGTAAATTATTGTGAAATCATTCAGAAAGATTAGACTGTTGGGAAGATATGAAGTGTAGAAGTACTTGAGTTTAAAGTAGTTTACAAAATAACTCCGATTGTAAGAAGGTGATAGGCAGGAGAAAAGAAAGCTTGTTGTAGGAAGCTACAAAGTATTTTCATAATATATATACATAACCTTTAATCGTCTATTTGAATTGTTCGACCTGTATATACGAGCACTTTTTCCATCATTAATTGGAATGGTCCAGAAAATGATTCTACAATGAAACAAACCACGTCAATATGTTAATCCATGAAATTCACATGTCTAACTAGTTTACAGTGCCACACCAAACAGTACAAAGAATAACATGTCAAGTTCCTGACTGTGTTCATTACCAATAAACTAAGTAACATATTCATTCAAAATTAGATCTTATTTGGTTCGTTCCCAATTGTTGGTTAGCTGGACATGAAGAGAATTTGTGGTATTTTGTCCATTAAATGGTTAAAATGAACAATTCTTTTATTAGTTTGTTAATTTCCTTCAAACAACGTATTCCTACTCACACTTTGAGGAAATAAACATTGTCTACATACGACTAATATTTTCAATTCATATAAAAAAATCCTGACGTGTCAGTTTTGAAACCTGTTTGACATTACTTGTAAGTAGCATGAGTTGCAAAGTACAAAATAATCAAATTTAATAACAAGTTATGATTGTTGGAGATGGAAAAATGATACACGTGTAGCGTTTTTCTTTGATCAACTACTAATGGCTTATTAGAAATCATTTACATATCTAAGTAATTATTTGCTGAAAGTATGAGGTTCATACTGGTTACCTAGCCTAGACAATGATCATTCCCCATTGTTAACTGTTGATTCACAGGGCTCCATAATTCACAAACATGTTTTATGTAGGTGTTATTCATATAGTTTGTTCAATGTTATGTCGACCAATCGAAATGGAATGTGGCTTGTGATTTTCTGAGGATGATATTCTATATTTTTCTCAGTGAATATGTTTATCGCGGTTATGCTTTGTCTGGTCATTCATTGACCGTGGTGAAATGATTAACTTTGCTTAGTTAACAATATCTTTGTATACATACTATGATGTAACTAAGAAAATCAACTCCTTTGATATACTAATCTGATTTTTAGGGAAATGGAATATACAACATGGAATTGTCCAACATTGGATTCACCAACTAGATTAAAATGCTAAGCAGTGTAAACATGTTATGATTATGAGATTTCTTATATCCTGTTGACCAAATTATATTATTATAAGTGAGTGTTGATATAATTGACCGAACTGTATTGGGATACGTGCATTCTAAATAGATTACCTCAATATTTCAATTTAGTCACAAGTTTGAGTTAAAATGGATTGTAACTGACAGTGGAATTTGTCACTCACATTTCTCGTATTCAATATCTAGGCAATCGGATAACGGTGCACAAATACCAATAGAGACTGATCAGTTGAAATTCTGAGTAATAACAACGAGAAATTACAAATACTTACTAATACCACCACACGCGTCAAACTAGTCATTGGCTTTTCGTAATCAGTAGCTTAGTCAATGGTAATTTGACGTTTGAAGTGATAGGCACTGCAATCCATGACATGAAGCTTACCAGTCCCTAATAGAACGAACCACATATCCTGAATTCCACCTCTGGACACAATCCAACTTTTACACTACATTTTTCTTGCTTACTATTTATAGACACTTTTTATTATCAGAAACAGAAATAACTCATGAAGTGTTAAGTCCTACTCAACACACAGTATGCTTTTTAAAGAATAAGTGACATAAGAACGCATCACATCATTATCATCATCGTCAGGAACTAGACAAGACATGCCAGTGACCGCTGTAAACCGATTAGTCACCGTAAATACAGTCTTGGAGGCAGTCAGTAGGAGTCCACTTAACATGCGGTAACGTCAGTCTTTGACTTTGGATTATATGGACTCGAATAATATGAGGATATTTACATTGAATACGTTGCATTATATTATTAATTGATAAAGATTAAAAATTCGGACATGTAAACAAAGACTAGGTTGTCCAGTAGCATAGTCCTTGTTATGAGATCTGAATATAATGACCTCTATAAACCTTGGGGGTGCAAGTGAACACCATTAACCAGTTCCTCACTCAGACGAAATAACTGTCCAGTACTTACAAATTTTCAATTTAAAACAGTCTGTATCGAACCTATATTGTTCCCGACCGTAGCTGCTACCTTGACGTGGTGGTCGGTCTTGCCTATTGTAATGAACCATTGGCTGGAACATATGTTCCTGCAGGTTCTACCATGCCAGGCAGGTCGATTGGAGAACTGTAAAACTAAAAGCAGCAATTCAAGGTCTGAGGGCGAAGTCG